CCTCTCACCGCTGCGGCCTCTCCCTTTGCAGAGCACAGGCTCCGGACGCGCAGGCTCAGCGGCCATGGCTCACGGGCCCAGCCGCTCCGCGGCATGTGGGATCTTCCCGGACCGGGGCACGAACCCGTGTCCCCTGCACTGGCAGGCAGACTCTCAACCACTGCGCCACCAGCGAGGCCTCTGTCTCATTTTTTTTTGTATATGGTCATCCTGGCTGAGGGAAGTCGGAGGCAGTGCTGGTGAAGGCTGGCCATGGTGGTAAGAGGTTCATGAAGGCACCAGAACAGTAGCTGAGCCTTGAAAGGATGGGGCTTGGATACTGCAGGGGAGTGGAGAGGGCATCTGGATTGGCCAGTAGCCTAGGCAAAGGTCTGGTTTGAGCAGGATGAGTGTGCTGTGGGGGAAGAGCTGGAAGAGTCTCCAAGGCACAGAGTAGGGGGACAGGGTCCAGTTAGGGCCCTTGGTGCTAAGAGCATGAGAGGCTTAGTCTCCTAAGGATAGACAGAACTCCTCCTTCAGGACAAGGTGGTTTCCCGGCTGGCCAGTGGCCTGGACAGTATAATTCGTTGTTTTCTGCAGAAAAAGCTATGGTTTAGGGGGAACTGATCTCAAAACTGCAGTTGGGTGGCATCTGAGCCTCCTGGGCCTGCATCAGGTCCTGCCAGGCTGAGAGGGGTCAACAACACAGGCTGAAATCTAGTCTGAGTTGTCCCCCACTTTTGCATTTGTGTGTGTCTCCTCTCTCTTGGACTCCCTGACAAGCTGGCCTCTCCTCTCAGCGCCAGAGGGACCTTGGCCTCTGGTGACCACTGCCTCCTGTCTATCACTGCCCCCTGCCTCTTTCTCATGCCTCAGGGGTAAGGACAAAGTCTGACCTGGTTGCCTCCAGCTTGCCTTCCTCAGCTCAGGAAGGACAAAGGGGGGTGGAGGTGTTTATATTCTGGTGACTCATACATCTGAGCTGACCTGCCACGGAGGTCTTCATTTAAGTGACATTAAACAACCTAATGCATGATGACTTTGCTGATAGTTTCTCAAAAGTGCAGAAGCTTTTCGTATACATTTGTTTCCTATATTAGTCTTAGGTAAAAGGAGAGGGCATAATGTTTACAGTTAATTTTAAAATGTTATCAAATTAATGCATACGCAGTTTCAAATGTCTGGTTGACTAAGTAAATAAATCAAAGTTACAGTCCTCCTGACAATCATTAGAAAAGTTGGGAAAAATATGAAAAGGATCTTCTTGAAGGCATCAGGGAGTTAACAAGATACTGAAAAATTACTTGTGAAGGATCCAGGGAGGGTGGAAACTCAGAGGTGGGCCAGGTCTTTGGGCTGTTTCTTCCACTAGGGACTTTGTGGGGCTAAGGAAATAGAGATTAGTATCCAGGGTCCCCCAAAAGTAAGGAAGAACCCTGAGGAGTTAGAACACAAGACAGCACACCCTAGGGGAAAGAGTGAATCAGGCCTCAGCAATCCTGGGTATCAAACAATTGTCTCTCAACTGCAGATCCAGCCTTATGTTATTCTCTGCTCTGTGAGGCTGGGGCTTGAACTCTTGAAACCACATTTCCTAGCCACCCAGCTGGCTTCCTATTACATTCTGCCAGTAGGAGTTACCAGAGAAAGGGAGATGGAAAGACAAGAGAGGAAAACAGGAATGTCTCCCTCATTTTTTGTGTTTATGTCAGTGCGGCTCCAAGCAGTGGCAGTTGGCTGCGAGCTCCAACTTCTTTGGGCCATCGTTGAGCAGCCCTGTCATGCCCATTCAGAACACCTGTACCGACTGAGCAGAGCCTTAGATACCCTAGAGGTCTGAGCGCCAGCAACACAGGGCCCTTCTATAAGCTTCTATCTTCTAGTAACCTCCACCTCTTCCCATTTCCCCCTAATTGGACTCTGAGCTGGATCAGCTCAGCTTGGAAGGCTCTGAAATGGGATTAAGGTGATCTCGGAGTGCTGCTCAATCCATCCAAAAGAAGTCAAGCAAGGAGAGAACAGGTGAAACAAATAGAAAGCACTATTAGAACTTTCTGAGTAACAGTTCAGAGACCAACCAACTTGGACCCTGAGGCAAGAGGAAAAATGTGTACTTCTATACACATTATAAATGTATTTTTTAATGGTTAGTTTTTCCAGGATATTAAAATAGTTGAAAAAAATGGAAGAACTTAAAAGTAGGTGTATTAAAATGCACAACACTATTTTATGTTTCCATATTTTACTTACACTCAAACCAGAATTATAATTTTATTTCCCTGGCTTTAATGGAAGCAAACTCATGAATAATATTTTCAAAACCTGCTTCTTCGCTTAGTTCATTTTCTATTGATAGATTGAATGTTTGACAATTTCTCTTGACCAAGTGACATTCTTCAGTAATTTTTTTTTTTGCCTTACGCGGGCTTCTCACTGTTGTGGCCTCTCCCGTTGCGGAGCACAGGCTCCGGACACGCAGGCTTAGCGGCCGTGGCTCACGGGCCCAACCTCTCCGCGGCACGTGGGATCCTCCCGGACCAGGGCACGAACCCGTGTCCCCTGCATCGGCAGGCGGACTCTCAACCACTGCGCCACCAGGGAAGCCCTATGACAGCTTTTAAGATAATCTTTGGGGGAATTCCCTGGTGGTCCAGTGGTTAGGACTCCGCATTCTCCTTACCGAAGGCAAGGGTTCAGTTCCTGGTCGGGAAACTAAAATCCCACAAACCGCACCGCATGGCAAAAAAAAAAACCCCAAAACCAAAAAACAACCTTTGGTCTTTGGCTCCTTGAAGTTTGATTTTTTTTTCTGTTAAGTTTGATTTTGAAATGCATTTGGTGGTATTATGAATAGTGCTGCTATAAATATTATTTCATATACCTTTTTAGGGAACTGGGGAACATATGTATGCATTCCTCTTGGATATATAGCTGGGATGAAATTGCTCAGCCAATGGGATATGTGTAGATTGTTGGCATTAACTATTATCTTTTATTAGTCATTATCTTTTTATCATGTTATTTATTATTATTACCTCTCATTATGCTTTAAATGAACTTATTTATTTTATTTTATTTATTTATTTTTGACTGCGTTGGGTCTTCATTGCTGCGCGTGGGCTTTCTCTAGCTGCGGCGAGCAGGGGCCACTCCCGCAGCAGTGCGTGGGCTTCTCAGTGCGGCGGCCTTTCCCGTTGCAGAGCACGGGCTCTAGGTACGTGGGGCTCAGTAGTTGTGGCATGATGGCTCTAGAGTGCAGGCTCAGTAGTTGTGGCATGCTGGCTCTAGAGTTCAGGCTCAGTAGTTGTGGCGCACGGGCTTAGTTGCTCCGCGGCATGTTGGATCTTCCCGGACCAGGGCTCGAACCTGTGGCCCCTGCATTGGCAGGTGGATTCTTAACCACTGTGCCCCCAGGGAAGCCCTACCTCTCATTATTAACTCAGTGTATTAACTCAATTTTGGCTATAATTAGTGCAGTTGCTATTATCATTAATGCACTGGGGGAAGATGGGGTGGTTGTCTAAGTAGCCTGAACCGATTAGAGAGGAAGTCCCTGAGGAACAGGGGAGGAGGTGTGCCCACATCCAGAGCAGTCTAGCCATTGGAGGTCCATGGCCCATTAAGTAGCCTGAGATTCTGGGCTCTGTCCGAATAGGTACAAAGATCATTTGTGATCTAGGCATGTTCTCTTCTTGGGCATCTGAACCACCATTCCCTGAAAGATCCCCAGGTGGTACTCAGTGGGTCAGGATCTGGATTGAGGTGAGCTACACAGAGGGAACCGAGCCACCCACTGTCTTCTTCCAGTGCTGAGCCAAGCCACCTGTGTTTCCTCAGGCCACTGCCAACAGGTCTTCCTTGAGTATCCGGTGTCTAAACTGCAGGGTCCCCCACCAAACCCCAGTATTGGGAGCCTGCACCACAGACCCCACTATGGAGAAGGACACTCACGCTGATTCCATTTCTAAAGCATTTATTTTCACGAAATGTTTGTGCTCACATGCAAGGAAACTTTGTGGGGTATCTGTGGCTGCCAAAGTGACATCTGGCAGGATTAACTGGATCACCAGAGCCAAACAATGAGGACTGGGAAGGCAGCAATAACTGTGGGGCCTGGGCCCATGTGGCGGCAAGATTTTGAGAATGACCACTTAGGTGACAAAATGGGATTCCCATGAACCGCAGCTCTGGTTAGTTTCTGGTCTGGAGCCAGATCCTCTCTCTGATGCAGACGTGGGAGGACGGAGCGGCAAGAGCTGCCCAGCTGCTCATCTGGGAACTCATCCTCCAAGGGACTCTGTCCCTCGTTCTCCTCCTGTACCTGGAGGCGGCAGTCAGCGGGCAGCAGCTCTCACAGCACCCCCACATACACCTGCTCAGACCACCTGCTCAGAGCTACTCTTTTGCCCAGCCCAGCATACCTGTTTCACCTGTCCGAAGACCCGCCGCACGTTTCCTCGAAGCACACCCCAGGGCTCTTCCTCACTCCAGCCATGCCCCAGCAACTCCTCTATCAGTACCGGGTATATGGACACGTCCTCCAGCCCCTGTGGGAACCTGTGTGGCCACCAGCCAGCCAGCTGTTGGGCCTCAGACCTGTTCCCTAGTCCTGAGTCAGAACTGAAGCCCTATGTGTCCAGGGTCCACTGAACCACAACCCTGGAGACTTGGAGAGAGTAAATGATTCACTCCTGCTCTTCATCCTTCAGAGGAAGGCCCCCAAAAGCACCTCGACTATTCACAAAAAGTCATCGAATTGTACTGTTAAGATCTATGCCTTTCACTGAATGCAATTTTTGCCTCCATTTATAAAGAGAAGAAAAGCTTTTTAAGAACTGGGTTGACCCCCCTGCATGCACAGGCCCAACTGCAGGCAGAGAAGATGGTTAGCCCAGCCCAGACCTTGCTAAGAGTCTGCTCAGAGGCCGTGGGTCTGCTGGCACTGGATGGGCGCAGATGCTGGGCAGATGAGCTCTCTGTGGTGTTTGAGACAAATATGATGACCTAGAGTAGGGCCAAAAAGACAGAAGAGCCCAGGAAGCAGACCCTGGGGGAGGGGAGATACCAGTTGGGCCAGCACACCTGAGGCTATGGTCAAGGCCATGAGGACCACAGTGTGGTGGGCACAGCGGCTGTGAAAGCCCCACTGCTGCCCAGCCAGCCTGAGACAAGCCACGGGGAAGCACTCACTGGCCAGCCCCGTCATAATCTCCGCCAATCCCGATGAACTTGCATCCAATGACTGCCCTGATGTGGTTGAAGTGATCTGAAGAATGGAAAGTCAGCAGTGTGGGGCTTCCAGGGTAGGGGTGGGGGTGATGACTGGCCTCTGTTGATTCCCCTTTTTGCAGCCTGTAGGCCAAACAGGCCAGTTCCTTCATGGCCTGGCACCGAGAGTACCAACTAGAGGGCCCTGAGGTTTGATCTGCAGTGATCCCAGCTGGCTCTAGACTGGACTTCAGATTTGGAGTGGACCCCAGAGCCCCCTGTTTGGGCCATTTCCCACCCAAGATTCACCCTGCCTCCCAGTCTCCTTGAGAACCTGTGGGGGCTCCTTTCCCCGGGTGTGGAGGATGAGAGAGGAACAAGAGTACAACTGATGAAGACCCCAGAGACCTAAGGAGCTGTCCAGTCCCTTGGCCAGAGGTAGGGGCAGTGCGCTTTAGGAGCCCCTGCAGAGGCACAGATGGGCAGCGCCTGGGCTGTGTGTCTGACACTCCCACTGCTCCGAGGGGGCGCCCTAGGTTGCTCTCCCCCGCCTCTAACCTTCCTGTCCAAGCTGGGGTGCTTCTCTCAGAGGGCCACCTTCAGCCCGAGGCCTCCCGGGAGCACACGTCATCCCCATCTGCCTGCAGCCGGCCCCGCCCACCCCGAGGGCTGCGTGTGAGTGTCTCTGTGGCCACAGGTGCTCTAGGCTCCTGGTTTCCCGGTACTGGGCCATGGTGGCTGGTGTGGGGGAAGAGATAGTTTCTGGAAATGGGGGGGGGGGTAACCTTGTGAGCTCTGGATTCAGGAAGGGGCCCTCTGCCCCCGACCTTCTCTCTCCACCTACTCGACTCCCCAAACTGCATGACCATTCTCTGGGGACTTCAACCAGCACCTGAGAACTATCAGGAACCTCCCCCACTTCTGTCAGCCAGCCTCAGGAAAGAGCGCCCTCAGGAGTTGCTACACCTCCCCAGGGCCTGAATAGAGGGACTTTGGGATGTGAACTGAACAACCTTCTGGGGAGAGTCAGCGACCCTTTTACTCAACAGAGCAGGAACCCAGTCAGCAGGCTATTTGAGTGGAAGGAAATGAAGTCATTTCCATGGCAGCAGAGCCCCCACCACAGCAACCTTCCTCCCAGAACTGTTGGCTGACCTTCTGGCCAGGATCCCTCCTACCTCAGTGTGGAAGGCCCGGCCTCGTGGAGAAGTATAGGTTCTGAGGAAAGACCTGGCACCTGGGTTCTGCTGCTACACCTGCCTTATCTCGTGGCCCTTGTGGCTCTAGCTTCCCCAGAAACCTCAAGGGCTAAGTGCCTGTGCTTGCTCAGAGGCCGCACGCCATTCCCCATTTCCAGCCTCAGGCCCTCCCCCAGCTGCCTCCTCTAGGGACCCCCTCCCCCCAACACACACACACACACACACACACACACACACATACACACACACTGGGGATGTGCCTTCTCACAGAAGCTCAACCACTGAGATGCTTTAGGGACTGTGCCCAAACTCTTTCATCCCCAGCCTCTCAAGTTTTTGCTCTGATCCCTGGCACGCCCTGGAGCTGTTCCACCTTTGGAACCTTTCCCGGGTGGCAGGAGTGCCTATCACAGGGGTAGTGACCTAAGTCTGAGCACTGGCGACCCTAGAAATCTGTTACACAAAAACATTTTATTGAGCAGTAAGTGACCCCACTGGGGACAGAAAGGGCTGGCAATAAAGGAGCATGTGAACCTCGGGGCAGGGGGCATGCTGCTTGACTCTCCATCCTGTTCTTGCTTCAGGGAGCAGGTCTTCCTGGGTCTCTCTGTCCTGCCTCCTGAGACCCCAGGCAGGAGGTTCTTTGGGAAGCCACAGATTGCCGCTTTCAGTTTCAAAAAGCCCAGCTCCCCCCTGGTTTGTGGTGGTGGCCGCTGACAACGGCTCAGGGCGGGAGCCCATGTGGTAGACTGCTAAGGCTTCTCTGCACCCTGTCTGTGCTCCTGCATCCTCCTCGGCTCGCAGAGTGTAGGCTTTTCTTTCTTCAGCTCACCAAGGGGCCCCTGAGGATTGAGCAGAGGAACGTCAGGTTTTCTTCCAGGCCAGGTTCAGCCCTGGGATGTTCAGGGCAGATTCTCATTCAAAACTCAGTTTCTGAGGCTCCTTGCTTACGGCCATTTAGTGTGGAAGGAGGCTCCTGGCTGAGGAAGGCTCAGGCAGAATGACTCAGGTTCTAATCTGTGGCAGTGGGCAGTGGGGGGGGGGGTCACTGCAGGAAGAGGCATTCGCTGCCTTAGGCAGTTAAACCATTGCCCTCTCTTCAGAATGACTCAGCCAGAAAGATTCTGTGGAGTCCGCCTCCGGGCACCATGCAACAATCGATGGATTTTGGGTCTGGAGCAACCAAGATCTTTGTCCGACTCTTCTGGAGCGTGCTTTCTCTTGGGAGCACGTCTAGGGACTGACTTCTCTGCTTCCACCTTTGCTGGCGTGGCCAAAGGAACATCCCCGTAGACCCGGTCGCCACCAACTAGGGAGTATGTCTCCCCGTGCTGGCCCAACTGCGTTTCTCCACACTCTCGGCAGAGGACATGGTAGTGACCAGGTGTAGGACGAGAAACGGGAGCCACTGCTGCTGCAAAGAAAATCAGAACTGATCAGTCACTTCTGCTGTACACAGTCTCCTGCCAGAATTTCCCTCTCTCATGTCTCTCCCAGTTTCTGGCTGAAGACCTTTAATCTACTTGACATCCAAAACACAGGCTTGGCCCATCACCTCTATGAGTCCCTAGAGAAGGGACACTGGCTGCAAAAGCAATTCCTAGAGCCTATGGCTGCAGCAGATGAGGACGTCTCTCCACCGTTTCCAGGGGAAACAGTAGAACCCGAAAGTAATTGCAATCATGATCCTCTCCATCTCTCCTTTCCACAACAGAGAAAACATTTCTTGCAGTCTGTCACTTCTGAGGCTTTAATGGAAATGTCTTTCAAGTTTTGGAAAAAATAATCTAATATAAATTGGTTAAGAACCCCACCCACCTTGGCAACCCCTCTTGGGCCCCATTTATACTTCCTGTTTCAACCACAGTGAACTCTAGCCCTCTGATACTTTTATGTAGATTAGAACAAGGCCAAATGCTGAGGCAGAGTGATCAGGAGACTCAGAACCGGGTTCTGGGTACCAAGTCTAGGCTCACATCCACCCAGCCTCCTGGGACACCATCTCCTCGGCCCTCCAGTCTCACTAGCACTTCATCACCCGCCTTGGTTCTTCTGGTCTTCCCATCAATATGGCACCACCGTCTCCCCTAGTTCTCAGCAGCTGAGTAAGGGATGTGTCTGAGGGGACCGATATAGACGCCTACATGACAGCACAGAGGTGCCTGGGTTTGAAGGGGCGGTTCAAGAGTGGCCCTCTTCCTCAAACTGCTCCATTTACCATTTGCCAACAAAAATGCACTTGTCTTTTGCTAAGAGGCCAATCGGGAAAGGGTCTGAATGGAAGCATCCTGTAGCCCAAAGGGGAAGGCTACATTTATACCAGACAGTATACATTATACCAGACAGTTTGGAAGAATAAAAGCAAAGACACAGGGCTTCCCTGGTGGCACAGTGGTTGAGAGTCCACCTGCCGATGCAGGGGACATGGGTTCGTGCCCCGGTCCGGGAAGATCCCACATGCCGCAGAGCGGCTGGGCCTGTGAGCCATGGCCGCTGAGCCTGCGCGTCCGGAGCCTGTGCTCTGCAACGGGAGAGGCCACAACAGTGAGAGGCCCGCGTACCGCAAAAAAAAAAAAGCAAAGACACACTCTTCTCGACCTTGTCCTGCCCCAAATATAAATTCATAACACCCTCACATTTTTACAACTGAGGACTTAAAAAAACCAAGAGGTTAAGGGGCCTACCCAGTGTTACACAGGTAGTGGAGAGGTGTTCTGCTCAGTGGTTAGGTTCATGTCGGGGCTCCGGATTTACAGCTGATAGGAATGTGAGGACAAGCTCACGCCATTTCAAACATTTCCAAGTGATACTGAGAGAGATGTTAAAGGTGCAAAATGAGGGTGCTGAATGACCTCACAAAATGGGAATGGTGGGCCCATTTTAACATGAAATTGAAAACAAATTCATGACAAAAGGACATAATACAAAATGACAACATAATCATTACACTCCCCTCTCCCCTAGAAGTAAAAATCATTAGAATCCTTTCTCTCTCCACCATGAAAGGATGAGATAAAAGCTCAGCAGCAGCCCCCGTGAAAAACATGGTCAACAGTGTGAAGAGGTGTTACTAAGATGATTTGGTCCGACTCAGAGAAGGAAAGAGACAACTCCGCCCTTAGCCTGATCAGGCCCACAGGAAGGAACCACATTTGGGGCAGCCTTTGATAGTGTGGCAATGAGAGAGAACCTTCTTTAGGAGGGGATTCCCTGTTGCCGACCTTGAAAAAGCAAAGATGGGACATTCGTTTAATGGGGCTGTTGCAGAGGCGATGTGCCCAGGAGGTAGAGGCTGCTTGGACTACCATTTTAGAGGTTGGGCCACCCTGGTGGAGAACCACAGCACCTTCTATTCCTAAACAGCTTGAATCAGCGGGTGCACGTTAGGACAGACGAAGTCAGGCCTCATTGGAGCAGACTGCCTTTGGGAGTGGTAGGATGTAAAATGTGGAGGGGAATGCTCTGGAGGAGCTTTGTCATGGCAGGTGGGCCAGCACGATTCTCCAAGGCTCCAGAGATTACTTGGCTGGGAGCATCCCTCTGATGTGGTGGGGGGACTCCTACCTTAACAGGACCTGGCTGGGCATCTGGGGGAGGCAGAATAAATGGTTTATTAACTTACGAGAGCTAGAGACTCACCTGGGGGGTTCCACAAAAGCACTTAAAAAGACTTGTACCTAGATTCTTGAGCCAACCCTCAGAAAACTTATCTAGATCTGGAGTAGGGCTCAGGAAGCTGCACTTTTAATAAGCTTCCTGGGCAGTCCCACCACAGTGGTCCATGGATAGAGTGACCAAATTACTGTGTATTCTCGGTTGCTCTTGGGAGTCAAAGTGGGCAATATTAAAAACTGCAGCAGGCATACATATAAACAGGGAATATTCAAGGCAAACAGAGGTGTATAGTTATTCTATGCATGAGTCAGATTTGAGAAAAGCTAGCCTGGTGGTTAAAGAACACAACCCTTAGGACAGACAGACCAGATTCTGTCCTACTTACTTGTGTGATTTTGACCAAGTTCTTTTATCCTTCTGTTTCTTCATATAGAAAAGAGCTATGGCTGTACATTTAGCACAATATTCTCTTTTGGCAAAAGTTGCTCTGGGTCCATTTGTGTTCTCTGCAACTTAATCCTTTCCAGTGTGCAAGCATTTTTAAGTTGTTTGGTGAAGTATTACATTTGACTTTTAACTGTTCATTACTTTGGGCAAAGCTTATGTAGTGCTGCAGAGACTAGAACCTATGCAGAGATAGCGAGAGGATGTTACAAGCTTATTCTGCCGGTTTATAAAAAAGTTTAACCTTTTCTCCTCTTCCTCCACCTGCCACCAAGAGATGAGAAAGAAGGCAGAGCCTGGAAATGCACACCAAGCAATACTTCTGTGTCAGTTTGCCTTTTATTCCTCTGCCAGTACTTCCCAGAGAGATTTCACCAAAAGTGCCTAAGCTTGCCATGGCCATTGTTGTGAAGAAAGTTTCTCTCTATTGCTAGTTGCATCCCCTTTTCCTTCTCCTGGGGGCTTAATGGATGTTTGGGGGCAGGAAATAAAATTTAAACTAAAACATCAATTGAAAGAGCCTTCATCCTAAGTGTGGTAGTTTGGAGTGTGAATCTTCTCAGAGTCTAGTGAATTCTACTCCAGTGGAAACTGTTATTAAGGGACACCCATAGAAACGCTGCTTACTGTAAGAAATCATGACACAATACAGAGCCAAGATCGACTTTATTCTTCATGTGAAAGACTACAGAGAGCCATGCTCAGTAGTTCACCCTCCAGTGTTGGCTTACCTTTTGAAGGCAGAAAGCAGCCCGGGCCTTCAGAAGGTGACTAGGCAGCCCAGAGCACCCTACTGACAAGTGTGCTCAGCCATCCAGCACAGAGGGAAAGGTCCCTGTTATGGCATCATATATAAGCCTGTTGCAATAAGGTTTGCTGGTGCAAAGGCCGTCTCACTGAGGACCTAGTCCTGGAAGCCTTCTCCTCCGGCGAGCTGCCAGCTCAATCTTCTGAACCAGGCTCACGTCCCAGGGATGGGTCACAAAGCTGACGACAGTGCCTGGCACTTCGCTCCCCACCCGGCCCACCCTCCCTGCTCTGTGGATGTAGTCTTGTAGGGTGAGAGGGAAATCATAATTGATGACTAGCTCCACCTGGGTGCTGTCCAGGCCCCGAGAGGCGATGTCTGTGCAGAGAAGTATGTCTCGGGAGCCCTTCTGGAAGGACTGGAAGATGCCTGCTCTCATTGAGGCTGGCATCTGTCCCTGCAGTCGTAAGTGTTGGATTTTGTGGTCATCCAGAATATACCCCAGCCAGTTCACAGTGCTGGAGCAATTACAGAACACCAGAACACTTCCTGCGGGGCCAGTCCTATATGCTCTGTCACGCTGCTTGAGGATCGGCACCAACCCAGTCACCTTCTCTGTTCCCTTCAGTCTCATGAATGTCTGTCTGACATGAGGCATGATGCAGTGGAGCTTGTCACTGGTAACAGTGGTTAGAGAGTCTAAGCTGGTAACTTTACTCAGCAGCTGGCCTACACCTTCGGGAAATGTGGCCCCCACCAGCACTAACTGAGCTTTGGGATTGAAGGGGTCTTTTAAGTCAGCTGGGTCTTCTGCTATATGGCTCCCCTCCAAGATGTAATCCACCAGTTCCAGGAAGCTTTCATCCAACAGCGTGTCTGCCTCATCCAACACCAAGAAGGAGAGCTGCTCCAGGCTGATCAGTTGAGTTTTCAGGGCCTTCCACAGAGCCCCCGGAGTGGCCACTAGTATATCTGCTGGAGGATGTTTGGACAGTTGCAGCCTGATCCTACTCATGCCATGGCCTCCCCCTAACTCCCGCACCTGGAGGCCCAAGGAGCTGCCCAAGGGCTGGGCCACGGCCCGCACCTGTTCGGCTAATTCTCGAGAAGGCACAAGAACCAGGCCTCGAGGCGCAGGGATACGACAAGGGTCCAGGCTTGGCTGGCCCAAGAGCCGTTGAAGGAGAGGTAGTAAGTATCCTAGAGTTTTGCCACTGCCGGTTTCTGCGGCGCAGAGGATGTGGCGACCGCGGAGGAGTGGGGGAATGGTACTCGACTGCACGGTTGTGGGCCGAACAACTTCGGGAGCAGCCTCTTGTAGTGCGCTCAGAACGCGGCGCTCCAGACCCAGATCGGTGAAGCTGCCCTTGAGCGAGAGGTTCCGCAGCGCTGGAGCCTCATGTTGCGCGCGCTCGATGGAGAAATGGTCCCCGTGGGCGCGCCGATTCCTCCAGCCGCGCGAAGCGAGTGGCGCGGGCTCCCAAGGGCCCAGCGTGAGGCGAGCCGGCTGGTTCAACTCCGGTCGCCGCGCTGAGATCAGCAGCGACCCAGGTCGCACCAGCACCGGCCGCGGGGGGCTCCGCTGCCCGCTCTGCCGCTCTTCCTGCCGCCGCTGTAGAGCCCGAGGAATGCGCACCACGGGCAGGGGCTCGTTGGGACCGCGGACCGTCAGGTCCCGGCGAGGCGCCAGAAGCAACCGAGCCACGAGCGACAACAGCCGCGGCTGCCGCGCTAGAGCCATACTCCCCTCGGTGCGGGAGAGGCGCACGACAGTGACGTCACGGGCGCGCCAAGGCCTCGCGGACGGTGGCTGGCGCGGCTCAGTAGGGCCCGCGGAATTGGCGAACTGTGTGGAAGGAGCGGGGTCTGTAGAGCTCAGCAGCGGCGAGGTCTGTAGGTCCGAACAGGGGATGGTGACTCCAGGCCCCGGCCAACCTTGGGGAAGGGTGCGCGATGGAGGCAGGACCGGGGTCCGGCGATACGCGGCAATGGGGCCCTGGCATTACGAACCAGGAGGGCGGAGGGCTTGTGGCGATCCGATGTCCGATCCCTGCAACGCTCATTTGTCGCCCTCACAGCGCCTGTCATGGCTTGGCCAGTTCGGGTCTCCCCCTGTAACTTTACAAGTATTTATTGAGAGTCTGAGTGAATGGTCAGGCCTGGGGGCCGAGACCAGGAGTCCGGAGTCGTAGATCCAGGCTCACCCTTCCCTTAGAGCTCCCCAGAGAGCTGAGGGCCCCGAGGGCAAGCTGATGGCCTTCAGCGTATCTTCTCTTCAGTCCAGAGAACTCATCGCTTGGTACTTTTCCCCTCTCTTTTCAGCTGAGGGTCATTCTCCCCTCCCTTGTCACCCTTTCCAGCTTCTCATCCTGAACCCACTGCTTTCTTGGCTCGTTCACCTCCACCGGCTTTCCAGTCAGATACCTCAGTTCCGTAAATAGCAGCGAGGAGGGTCCTGCTACAGATTTGTGGCTTGTCTCACAAAACCACGGTCAGGCAGAATATTTTACTTGAATTCAGTTGTTCAGGTTGCCCAAAAGCCTTACACTACTGGTACTTCTTGAACGGATCCCGAAAATGGGTGTCAGATCATTTCTGTAATTTCCAGTGCCTGGGGTAGGAGATAAGGTAAATGTGGATTAACCACCTGGGAGGTTCTTAACATCTGGAGAAAGAGTTTTACTTTTATTAGATACCGTTATACTATTAAATTTCAAATAGCATTTTGATACACGATAGACTTTCTGGAGAGTTACCTGTTAAACCAGCAGAGGAGAGAGTTTTGAGTACTCATGGGTGAACAGAGTCATTGGATAGAGCAGTGGCTCTTGCGTGAGGGTGATTTTGCCCTCACCCTTCCCCCAGGACATTTGACAATGGCTGGAGACATTTTTCTTTGTCACATCCGGGGGGTCGGGTGGGGTGCTGCAGGCCTCTAGTGGGTAGAGGCCAAGATGCTACTACATATCGTACAAGGCATAGGACAGCCCTCCCCACCACCCCAATTATCTGGCCCCAAATGTCAATAGTGTGCTATGGAGAAACCTTGGATAGAGGCTGAGGACTGAAGAGAGGCTGAGGTTGTCACATGTACTCTCACTTCAGGTGGTCAGTCACATTTGCCAGACTCTTGTGTGGCCCTGCCCCTTTCCCAGAATCTGTAGCAGGCACATTGATGCCGTGGTTGTCATGTCCTTGGGATGAGAAAACCTTGGGGGCTCCTGAAAGTTATAAACACAGGAAGGAGTGATTTAGGAGGGTGACGTGGGAGAAGAGGACTTTAGGAAGAACAAAATTGTCCTCATGTGTTTGGGAAATGTGCCAGATGGAAAAGAGATGAGGTGTGCCATGGGGTGTACCATTCCAGAAGGCAGACTGGGACTGATGCTTGACAGGGAGTCAGATTCTGAATTTGATATAGACTGCTGTAGCAACTAGAAATGCCTAGATCTGTCTAGAGAGTGCTGGGTTTTCTGTCACTGCAAAGTTCATGTATAGGCTGATGACCACTGATTGGTGATATGATAGAGGGGAGTTGATATAAAGGATGCTCTAAGATATTGTGACTCTACACTACTTTTATGATTCTTTCCCAGAACTCGGAGCTCCTCATTCGTTAGCTGAAGAGCTCCTTGGATGTCTGCTCTGACATGTTTCATCTGTTTACATGTGCCACTCATTTTTCAGGTACAAAACAAAGAATCGCTTTGCACAAAGCCAGAAGGGATATACCGAAAGAATTATCAGAAAAGAATAATACATAGGTATGTATTTGCATTGACTTTCTCCAAATATTTGAGACAGGGTAGCTGGTTAGTGGCTGCTTTCTCATGCTTGAGCCCTTACAATGTGATCACCTCAGAATGTCATAGGGATTGGAGCCTGTCTGAGCCTGTCTGTCTCTGCCCATGGCCCCTAGTTTCTTCTTGTCATTGCTTTAGTTACCGTGTAAGGCCCTCCTCTTTTCCTCCTGCTCACAGCAGACATTGAGTAACCTCTAGTTGTTACTGAGATGCATATTTCACAGTATAGTACTTTAGAAATGAGAAAGGTTTACTTATTGTGGAAACAAATGTAGGCTCCTGGGAGTGTTAGTGTCACTCAGTAATGTTTTTCCCAGGGCTGCCATGGTAACTGACGTTGCCTGCTTACTCCCTAAGGTTTGAGAAGAATTCTTCCTTGGATCTCAGGTGATAGTGGTACATTCCTTCATTCATTTATTCATTTAGTAAATATTTTCTGAGCACCATGTATGTGCCAGGTACTTTTCATATGGACAGTGAACAAAACAGACAAGATTCCTGCCCTAGTGAACTGTATATTCTGATTTAATTGGCTTGGGGTGAGGCCTGGCCATTGGTAGTTTTTAAAATCTCTCCAGATGATTCTAATGTACAGCTAGGTTTGAGAATCACAGTTATAAATGAAGCACTTTGGGAATTGCAAAGGCATTGCAGAAATAAAAAGTGGCTATTGGTATTCCTTCACTATTCCTGCATTTTCCTGCCTGCATCAGGACTGTTGTACAAGTGCTGATCATTTTCTTTTCAGCCCTTTTCACTGTTTGCCTAGACCCTTTATCCCTCTTTCTAACCTAACACCCTACCTCCTTCTTGTCTTTCAACCTCCAGTCCATCATCTGTTTGGGATTTATCCTAAACTTGGTGGGAAGGCATTGCAGGGTATAAACAGAGAAGTGGTGTTAGCAGAGATGCCTTTTTCAGATACCATACTGGCTATTGTAAGAGAATGGATAGGAGGGGGCAGGAGTAGATTTGGGGAGACTCATTAGGAGGCTGGCTTTGTGCACAGTGGTGGCCTTGCAGATGGAGTAAAGCAGGCAGGTTAGAGTCATATTTGGAAGGTTAATGATGGCTTGGAGGTGAATAGGAGATAGTGATGAATTGGATGTGGGGAATGTGGGTTAAGGATGTGTAATTGGGTAAATGGAGGTCTACTTACTGAAACGGGAAAAATTTTCTCCCCACATATTGACCTGATAAACACCTTCTCACCCTTTAGACCTTGAATCAGAGATTCTTTCTTGTTTTCTTTTATTATATTTTATTTTATTTCATTTTTATTTGGGCTGTGACGCCAGCTTGCAGGATCTTAGTTCCCCAACCAGGGATTGAACCCAGGCCCCCTGAACTGGAGGCACAGGGTCCTAACCACTGGACCACTGGGGAATTCCCAGCAGAGATTTTTTCTTTCTTTTCTTTCTTTTTTTAATATAAGTTTTAATTAATTAATTAATTAATTTTTGGTTGCGTTGGGTCTTCGTTGCCGCGCGTGGGCTTTCTGTAGTTGCGGCGAGCAGGGGCTACTCTTCGTTGCGGTGCACGGGCTTCTCACTGCAGTGGCTTATCTTGTTGCGGAGCACGGGCTCTATGCGTGCGGGCTTCAGTAGTTGTGGCACGTGGGCTCAGTAGTGGTGGCTTGCGGGCTTAGTTGCTCTGCGGCATGTGGGATCTTCCCGGACCAGGGAGCAAACCCGTGTCTCCTGCATTGGCAGGCGGATTGTTTGTTTTTTTAAAACATCTTTATTGGAGTATAATTGCTTTACAATGGTGTGTTAGTTTCTGCTGTATAACAAAGTGAATCAGTTATATGCATGCGTATATCCCTATATCCCCTCCCTCTTGCGTCTCCCTCCCACCCTCCTGATCCTACCCCTCTAGGTGGTCACAAGGCACTGAGCTGATCTCCCTGTGCTATGCAGCTGCTTCCCACTTGCTAGCTATTTTACATTTGGTAGTATATATATGTCAATGCTACTCTCTTACTTCATCCCAGCTTACCCTTCCCCCTTCCCGTGTCCTCAAGTCCATTCTCTGTGTCTGCGTCTTTATTCCTGTCCTGCCCCTAGGTTCATTAGAACCATTTTTTTTTTTTTAGATTCCATATATATATGTTAGCATACGGTATTTGTTTTTCTCTTTCTGACTTACTTCACTCTGTATGACAGGCTCTAGGTCTATCCACCTCGCTACAAATAACTCAGTTTCGTTTCTTTTTATGGCTGAGTAATATTCCATTGTATATATGTGCCACATCTTCTTTATTCATCTGTCGATGGACACTTAGGTTGCTTCCATGTCCTGGCTATTGTAAATAGTGCTGGCAGGCAGATTCTGAACCACTGCACCACCAGGGAAGTCCCCAGAGATTATTTCTTAAGGGAGGCCCTCCTCAACCCCCATGAGTCTCTTTCCTGCTGACATAGACTCCCACAGCCTTATGTAACTGCTCCTTCATAGCACCATACACAGTTTTAATTCTAACATATTTGTAAGTTCCCTTTCTATAACATATTTGTAAGTATCCCTTTCATCATTTTATCTTTAGTGCCTACCAGTGCTTGACATATCTTAGGGGCTCAGTAAGTGTCTGTTGAATAAATAATTGGAGACAGAGGACAAGGCTTAGGAGGGAAGATCAAGGCTTTGTTTTCTACATGTTGAGTAGAAGATGCCCTTAAGACATCCCAGTGGGGATGTGTTTTGAGCAGTTGGTGTGAGGTTGGGATGCCTTTGGAGATGATCATGGCCACTATTTTAAACCATGGGAGTGAATAAATTTGTGAGGGAGGATGTGTGAAATTAGAAGGGAAGAGGGCCCACGACTAAGGAGCAACCTCAACCTGTGAGGGGAGGAGGTGAAACCAGCAAAAGAGACTGAAAAGCAGGGGTAGAGAGAAAAACTGGGAGAGTGTGTGGTCGGCGAACCCAGGGAGGAGAGAGATCAAGGAAGAGGGGAGGCTCAACCATGCCATGCGCTGCTAGCAGAACAAGACTGAGGCCAGGTCAGTGTCTCGTAGATTGAGCAACTTCGAGGTAATTGGTGACTTTAATCAGAGCAGTTTTGGGAGAGTGGCAGAGGGGGAGGCCAGGCCGGAGTAGGCTGAGGAGTAAAAAGTTAGTTAGCAAGCTTTGTGGTTTTTAGAGGGGACCATGTTTGCTTAGAATAAATAAATTAACAGTTATCTCTGGGACATGGGATTTTGATTTTCTTCGATTTACTCCTGTTGCTCTACCTTTAACATATTTTTAGAATGTGACCACTTCTCACCACCTCCCCTGCTATCTCTCTGTCCTGAGCCACCATCATCTCTGACATCGGTGAGTGAAGAGCCTTCTAACTGATCCGCCTGTGTCTACCGTGGCCCCCACAGTCTGTTTGTCATACAGCAGTCACCGTGATAATGGGGAATGTGATCAGTCATGCCACTCCTCTCCTTAAAACCCTTCACTGGCTCCTATCGTGAAGAGCTAACAAAGCCCGCAGAGCGTCCTACAAGGCCATTCGGGGTCTGACCACTGTGTCCTATCTGCTTACTGCTCTCCATCCATTGTGTATCTGACTTCCATTACTCTCTTCTCCTTTCTGTGCTGCAACCACAGTGGCCTCCTTCCTGTTCTTCTAACACACCAGACAAGCTCCTGCCCCAGGGTCTTTGCACTGGCCCTTTCTTCTCCTGTGCACTCTTCCACTAGATACCAACTTGGCTAACTCAAATCTCTGCTCAGATGTCATCTTCTCATTGAAGCTTATCTGGGCTTCTCTATTTAAAATTTTAACCTTTGGGGATGAGGTGGGGGGGAAATGGGTGAAGGTGGTCAGAGGATACAAACTTCCAGTTACAAGACAAATACATTCTGGGATGTAATGTACAGCATGGCAACTATGGTTAACAATACTGTATTGTTTCTTTTTAAATTTTATTTCTTTATTTATTTGTTTATTTTTGGCTGTGTTGGGTCTTCGTTGCTGCACATGGGCTTTCTCTAGTTGCAGTGAGCGGGGGCTCCTCTTCGTTGCGGTGCACAGGCTTCTCATTGTGGTGGCTTCTCTTGTTGCGAAGCACCAGCTCTAGGTGCGCGGGTTTCAGTAGTTGCGGCACGTGTGCTCAGTAGTTGTGGCTCGCGGGCTCTAGAGCGCAGGCTCAGTAGTTGTGGCGCACGGGCTTAGTTGCTCCGCGGCATGTGGGATCTTCCCAGACTAGGGATCGAACCCGTGTTTCCTGCACTGGCAGGCAGATTCTTAACCACTGTGCCACCGCGGAAGTCCCGGTAATACTGTATTGTATCCTGAAAGTTGCAAAGAGAGTAGATCTTAAAGGTTCTCATGATGAGAAAAAAATTATGTGAGGTGATAGATATTGTCTAAACTTATTGTGGTAATCATTTGGTGATATATACATATGTGAAATCTTTATGTTGTACAGCTTAAACTAACACAATATCATATGTTAATTTTATCTCAATGAAACTGGAAAAAAATTTTAACCCATCTGCAGTTTTTAATCTCCTTTCTCCCTGCTTTTTTTTACTCTATAGCACTATCAATTTTCCATCATACTATGTAATTTATTTATTATGCTTATTGTTTTTGCCTTTTTCCCCACTGGAATGAAAGCTCTACCAGAGTAGGAATCTTTGTCTGTTTTCTTCTCTAATGTATCCCCAAAGACTAGGACCGTGACTGGTACAGAGTAGACACTTAATAAATATTTGTTGGATGCATAAATGAGCATGCATTATTTTTACGATAAAAGAAAAGGAAAACCAAATACTATGTGTTGGAAAGAAGAAGGAAAGCCTTCTCTGGATAACAGAAGAGATTTTCTCCATTTGAATTTCTGACTCTCTTTCTTCAGGAATGATTGTGAACAGCCTCTCTCTGTGCTACCACAACAAACTCATCTTAGCCCCTATGGTTCGGGTAGGGACTCTCCCAATGCGGCTGCTGGCCCTGGACTATGGAGCGGACATTGTGTACTGTGAGGTAAGGGGCTCCTGATCTTCCCGGAGATCTCTTCCACAGGTGCAGCCTCCCCATCTGTGGGTGGGAGCGGTCAGGAGTCAGAGGAGGCAGAATGGGCTCTCCCTTCACAGGTGCTCACTGAAGGCAGCAGAACACAAACACGCAGGAGTCCTGTGAGCCCTGCTGAGGACCAGGAGCCTGGGCAGCACGGAGGCATTGTGGGACACCTGGGCCAGGTGGCTAGATGAGCATCGTGTCAGGTCACTGCTGTGGCCCCCATAGGAGTTAATACACATTCAGTACATGAATGAGTGAACTCAAGATCAGGAAGAGGAGGAAAAGGACCAGATTCAGCCCAGGGAAGCTGGATGGGGTTGCTTTTGGGAACCATAGGATTTTCTGGTGGCAGTAGCTAGTGGACCAGCTACTGACCGGCTGCTGTGGAGAATATTAAGACTTGAGACCCAGGTTTAGAAAGCATCTTCTAGGAAAAATAGAGTTACAGGAGTAGCTGTTATTGGGTAGGGACTGGGAGCAGTGGTTCTCAGTTGGGCATGCATCAGAATTATCTGGGCAGCTTCCCCCGCAATCCCCAATCCTGATATGTCCCTCTAGTTGGTGTGAGAGGTTAGAGAAACTACCCCAGTGCTTCTGATATTTCCATCTTTAAGAGCCACCGGCGGTGGGGTGAGGACTGTGGCTATAAAAGGGAAACACAGGGAATCCTTGTGGTGGTAGAACTATTCTGTGTCAACATCCTGGTTGCGATATTGTACTACGGTTTTGCAAGATGTTACCATGAGGAGAAATTGGGCAATGGGTACATAGAATCTCACATTCTTACAATTGCATGTGAACCTCCAATTATCTCAAAATAAAAAGTTTAATTGAAAAGAAAGCCACTGGTGTAGGGTCTTCCCTGGTAGTCCAGTGGTTAAGACTTTGCGCTCCCAATGCAGGGGGCCCGGGTTCGATCCCTGGTCGGTGAACTAGATCCCACATGCATGCCGCAACTAAGAGTTCGCATGCTGAACTAAGAAGCCTGCATGCCACAACTAAGAGCCCGCATGCCGCAGCTAAACATACCGCATGCTGCAACTAAACACACCGAAACGAAGATCCCGCATGCCGCAAATGAGACCTGGTGCAGCCAAAATAAATAAATAAATATTAAAGGAAAAAAAGTTTAATTGAAAAGAAAGACACTGGTGTAGGGACTTCCCTGGTGGTCCAGTGGGTAAGACTCCACACTCCCAATGCAGGGGGCCTGGGTTTGATCCCTGGTCAGGGAACTAGATCCCACAGGCATGCCACAACTAAGAGTCTGCATGCCACAACTAAGAAGCCTGCATGCTGCAACGAAGATCCCGTGTGCCGCAGCTAAGACCCAGTGCAGCCAAAATAAATAAATAAAATAATAAATAAATTTTAAAAAAGAAAATTACCTGATTAGGGGACAGCTGTGGCACATAGATGTGAACACTTGAGGGGTTAATGGATTGAGGAGTAAGCAGCAAAATGAGGAAGTAGAAATAAGTCTGCTGACTACCCCCCAGAAATTCAAGAGGTGAAGGGAGGAAGTGTATAGCTGGAGGTGAGGGAAGATGGGTGAATGGAGTTGTTTGTTGGTAACTTGCTTGTTTGTAGCGTAGGAAGAAGGGCTTAACAATGAGGGGAGGCCTGAAGATTTGGGGCATTAGGGGGATTTGTAGGGCCAGGTCTTGGAGGGGACAGGATTCTTGACGAGGTGGTAGGACCTGCCTTCCATTGAGATAGGGCAAGGAGGAGAGGGTGAAGATGATGAAAGGGAGGGAAACTGAGGGGTTTTGCCTGAGAGACTTGTTTTACAAGATGTAGGAAGTCAGTCTTCTGTTGGAAATGAGGGTGGCAAGTGTGGGCTAGGGACCTGAGGAAAGGAAGTGAAGGTGTTTTGGTCCTATTCCCATGGGGAGTGGGCACTGGGAGATGTGCCTGGCAGGCAGGTGTGCACAGTGATACTGGTTTGCAGCTTTATAGGAAGGAGAGCTTGAGAAGCCTGGCGGGGGATGCCCATGGCAGGGATTGGCATGCCAGTATCTACAGCAGGGCAGGGGCAGAGGCATCTAGGGTGCTGACAAGGTGAAATGGGAAGGAACGAGTATGTGTTGTCCAAAGGTGGGAGTCAGAAAGGGATTTTCCAGAGTTTAGGGTCACAGAGACCCAAGACCTGACTTTTAAGTGGTTTGTCGA